TAATTATGGAAATATTTTAGTAATATGGATTTGGTCGAGTATGACTTGCTAAATTTGTATTACATAGGAATTTGTCAATTTGGATCGGACTACTTTCGTATTGACCCAGCTTTTCCGCTTGAATGGGATATATATAGCACGAGATTATGATATTTTGAAGATAAAATTGTCGAGTCCGAATCAATAACGGGTCAATAGTTTTTGACAGCCGATCAGACGGGGACAAAAAAGGTCGAAAGCTACGTCCTCATGATTTCATGAGCGAAGGTGGCCCCGCCGTCGTCGATATTCATCACATGTCCTGTCATCCTCGAAAAACCCCTTTTTGCTGCGGAGAGAAACTAGAGAGAGAAATGTTAATTTCGAGGAGTGAACATGAGAGAGCAATGTATACGTGGTGTTGATTGATCGTATTATACATGCATAAATCGACTTTGGGTATGCATGCATAAGGCTACATATAATATAACCCGATTTCGCGAAAAGTGGAACCGTCTATACCTTCTCTTTTGGGGTGCTTTGAGCTACTCTTCGTTTATCTCTACTTAGAAAAAGGCATCCTTTGTTTGTTGCTTCTCTTAACACATTTGTGAATGGAGTGCTTATTTAATGGTCATCCAATAATTTCGTTGATAATGTGTTTTTAAAAAACTTCGTCTATGAATTACCTAAGACATATTCCGTGCGAGGATGACGGAAATCGTAATCATGACATATTTGAATATACGGCGAAAGTCATATTTCGATACATAGGGATGGGATCATTGCGTGAGTTTAGGCAGAAGGTCGGGCTTAATGTGTCGTTCAAACGCGTCCATCAAATAAAGTGAAGAATTTTTGGATCGGGACGAGCTTGCACTAAAGACGGGCAGGTCAAGCTTTCTCTCGTTAAAACATTACCCAAACTTGCTCATTTATCGCTCAGGACTCTCAAGCCTGGGCAGGCCAAATGAGTCGCCCGTCCATCGATCAGAGGCTAAACCGTCAAGGCAACCTATGGAGCCCATCAATCACTCCGCAAGAACTGCTAGGTCAAATAGTAATATCCTTTGGGATAGTTATGCAAACTTCTTCCTTCCCATGACCTGTTCACCACTAGAAGCAAGTAAAAGGAACCGCCCAGATTAGGAATCGCTCGAAGGGCACTGGTATGGTTCCCGGCTCCATGCAATTGAAACCAATGAATTGCGGTCCAATTCCAGGTATGGACATGGCCACCTAGACCGGACCAATTTTTTTTCTATTTCTTACCAATGTGAAAAATCCCTAATATCTTCACAAACCTCGCTCTTTCACGCCTCTTTCCCAAATTTGAAACAAAACCCTAATCCCATTGTCATTCTTCACGCCTCTCGCTCACGCACACACTTCTCTCGCTTGACTCAATCGCTCTTTGTCTCTAGCTCTGCTCAATCACTCTTAGTCTCGATCGATTATGTTTTTGTAGCCAATGAAGAATCTTCAGTTTTCGCGAATCGATCGGAATTGGCCGTGAGCTGTTTTGGAGCTTAGAATTGGTCTTAAATCCTTGCTCCATCGCCTTTTGCGAGTCACTATTGAGGAATCTTCGAGTCTTATGGCTAGGACATGGCTTCTCAAGGTGCATTTTGGTTTTTGGACCTCATTTGCGGCCATTGATTCGGAAGGAATCGTTTCCGAATTAGAAATTATAGTGACGACATGGAGTCGAAGTGATTGAGGATGGGTTGGAGTTGGAAATCGCCTCCCGAATTTGAAGATTTCGTTGGTTGGTTGTCCAATTGGTGTTCGGTGTGCGTTTGGGCATCAAATGACATTGAAACTCGAATGGGCTAATCCTCATAAAAGTGATCTCATTAGTCATTATGGAGAGGGATATCAAGCATGTTTTCCTCTTACTTTTTGTTTATGCCGGCAGTTCCAATTACCCACCCAAGAAATGGTCGGTCCGATCCGATTTCAGGATCAAATGGTCCGATTTCTTATTTCTAGGTGAAATTAGATCACCTGAAAACCGATTACCTTTATTCACCACTTAAAATACAAGAAACTAATCATAGAAAGATAACATCATTCCAGTACTTCAGTTAGATTTGATTTCGAACGACAATTGGTGCTAAAAAACCACAAAATCCCTCTCTTTCCCAGCTAATCACATCGATGTGACGTGAAGGACCACTGCATTAAATAAAACAAAGAAATTGATGGCTGGCTCATGACATTTTCCCAAACGTGCCTTTGAGATGCAATGTTGGCCACGAAATGAATTTGTCACGGCTACGATTTCAAACGATTTATTTAGTCATGTTTGACAAATAAGTTTATATATATTTTTTTTACACAAAGTACAATTGTTGTTTAGGCATCCCCACGTCGGCACGAGTGATAAGTTGCTCGCTAAAAACTAAATTATCTATATCGATCGCAAGAAACGCATAAAAAAAATGGGTAAATAGCCCGTGTTCCTAACGATATTTTGGCGCCATCGCGACCGCCTAATTAATGATAATGTGGAGTTAGGAAGCTGATGTTGTCTCCTTTCCCCTCTCTTTGCCTTTTGGTTGATTTTGAACTAGTAAGGGAGGCGCATTTAAAGATGAAAATCTGCTACTCCTTGCGGTTGGTCATTGTGGTTTCCAGTTGTAAGACATGGGCAAACCTTTGCCGAGTCCCCCTTAAGTCAAAGGTTGATGGATTTTACGGCGTTAATAGTCTTTGCATGTCGTCTTTTGGTTTTTTTTACGTGGATGCCCATAATAGAAATACTGAGTCAGGTAGGTAGGAGTGGGTGGATGCCCATAATAGAAATACTGAGTCGGGTAGGTAGGAGTGGGGACATTTAGGGTGCGCATGACAACCATTCTGTGCCCGGAAATTATTTCTAAACAGAAATGATTTTTTTTTATTCTGTGCCCGGAAACAATTTCTGTGCATTTGAAGGCGTTTGGTAAACTGTCTAAAATTTCTATTCCTGGAATAGAAAAGAACAGAAATGCGTTTGGTAACTACACACAAATTTCTTTTTATTAATAATATTTTGAATTGTTTAATTTTTTTTCTTTCTACCCAGGCCATGGCCGGTCGCGGCCGGGGGCGGGGGACCCCCGGCCGGCAGGGCGTACAGCCATAGAAGAGCAACACAAAAAGAAGAAAAGAAAAAAAAGAAAAAGAAGAAAAAAAACTGATTCTCAAAATTGTGTCGAGAAACAAGAAGCAACTTTTTTTTACTTCTTGTTTCTCTTCCAAAACTGTTTCTCGGCACAAATATTTGTAAAAATGTGCCCGGGAACAAAAAGTTTACCAAACGCATTTCTGTTCCCAAACTATTTCTGGGAACAAAAGAACAGAAATTTTCACTGTTTGGAACGTTACCAAACGGGCCCTTAGTATCTAACGTGGATTTCGACTCCCACGCTTTACAAGGAGACATGATAAAAGTCTGAGAGTAAATTGAGAGTTAGAGTAGGACAGACAAATAAAAAATCGCTAAATCTCGAATTAAAAAAAAACAAAAATTTTGAGGGAAACTGTCCGATCAGTCCTAAATTTATTGCACGGATGCCGTTTCAATCCTAAACATTCTAACTTTGCCGATTCAGTCCTAGATCTTTGGACCGTCACGTCGGCGATTTACGGCGAAAATTGATCGGAACGACTGAATTGGAATTTCGCGCAAATGTCTGGGACTGAACTGGCAAAATGAAGAAAAAATTTAAGACTGAATCGATATCCCGTGCAAATTAGGTTTAGGACGGGCCAGCTCTTCGAAATAGCCTCTTCTAACTGTTCGTCTCCATGCACACAAGGACTCCGTTAAATTTCAAGCCAACCACCTCCGCAACAAGCGAGACTTCGTGCGCGCGCATTGCTCTCGCTAGTCGCCTCCCTTTTTCTCACCTTTAGGTCGCGTTTGGAAAAGGAGGGAATAGGAACGGGGGATGCTCTGATTAAAACGAGAAAGGGGAGCAAAATGTCATCACTTCCGAGCCATAGCATATGATTGACAAAGGGAGGGGAGCGAAAACGATTTCGAGAAATCGCGACAATGAAATTTGTCCTCCCCCTTTTCCCTAAATATCGCGAATTTCTTCCGATTTTCCACTCTCGCTTCCTCCTTCATCTGCGGTCGCGGTTTAACTGAAGTCGCGCCTAGAGGTGTTTCTTGGGATAAGATTCGGCTCTTAAAAAGCTTCTCGGACTGTAAGGAGGCCAGAACGAACCGTTGCATGCACCAAATCCGGATATAGAGTATCGCCGGGAAAATTGTCCAAAAAGTCCAAGACCTATTCTACTTCCGTCAATTCAGTCCTAAACCTTTCAAGTTTGTCAATTGAGTCCTAAACCTTTTCACTTCTTATCAATTGAGTCCATCCGGCCAATTTTGACTGTCCGGAGCTGACGTGGACGCCGTCCAAGCAACGCTGACATGGCATTTTTAAATATTTTATTTCGATTTTTTCATTTTTTCCTTTTATTATTATTATTATTATTATTTTTTGCCTTCTTTCCTTTGGCCGGCGAGACGGCGAGGTCGGCCTCGCCTTTGCTGGGCGAAGCTTGCCCTCACCACTGGCCGGCGGGGGCGAGCTTCGCCAGAGGCCGGCGAGGTCCTCGCCTCTGGCCGGACCGGCCAGAGGGAAAAAGTCAGAAAAAAAAATAAAAAATAAAAAATTATTTAAAAATTGCCACGTCAGCGTTGGCCGGACGGCCGGTGTCGGCCTGCCAAAATTGATCGGATGGATTCAATTGGCAAAAAGTGAAAAGGTTTAGGACTGAATTGACAAACTTAAAAGGTTTATAACTGAATTGGCAAAAGTACAATAAATTTAGAACTTTTTGGATAATTTTCTTTATCGCCTCTCGGTTTTCGAAGTTTGCGGGAACTAGGTCTGGATAAGACTATTTTACTGTACAGGGAGGGACCATTTATGGCGTGCAACCAATATAATCGCGTCAAATCCCTCCAATAGAAAAGCATCCTAAGTACGATGCCCTAATAAATTCCTTATATAAACCATGCCATTGCATCTTCCATACTTGCACAAAGTAAAAGGCCACGGTACCCCCAAGAAAAGAGAGACCGTCCGTCTGCAACTCTCCCCAAACATGTCTGAAGTAACCTGCATTGGTACTTCCTGGGCTCTTGCGGTCACACTGCTGGCGGCGATTCTCGTGTCGGCCGCCGTGCCTCGAGCCGAGGCGGCCCGCGCGTTCTTCGTGTTCGGCGATTCGCTCGTCGACAGTGGCAACAACAACTACCTGGCCACCACCGCGCGTGCCGACTCTCCCCCGTACGGCATTGACTATCCGACTCACAGGCCCACGGGGCGGTTCTCGAATGGCTTGAACATCCCGGACATTATCAGTACGTCGCCGTTTCTTAGTGCTTATTACGTGTTCGACAGATTAACCTTGGCGCTACATAAGTCGGTTTTTCATTCTCTATCTTTTGCTCCCTGACTTGACACGTGAGAATACATAGGTGAGAAAATTGGAGCAGAACCCACATTGCCATACCTAAGCCCTGCACTGACCGGACAAAAACTACTCGTCGGCGCCAATTTCGCTTCGGCCGGGATCGGAATTCTCAACGACACCGGCGTTCAATTTGTACGTCCATGAGCTTTATAATTCACGTCACTAGCACATTTCCTTCTTAATATGGACGTACGAGCCAAACATCGCATCAGCTGCATGGTCCCCATACATATAATTTGATTGAGCGAAGGCCGTCGAAAGCAGATAATTCATGCAAACAAAGAAACCACGTTGCTGTTACGTATGATGTAGGCTGAAGGCCGCCTTTGTGAAAAGGACTCTTACTTTCTTTCTGTCTAAGCTTTTGGCATGTTTTACACAAAAATTGATCGAGTAAGTTCCCATGTTTGTGCAGCTAAGCATCATAAGAATCTTCAGGCAATTGCAATTGTTTCAGCAGTACCAACAGAGGTTAGGCGCGCTCGTCGGCCCGGCTCAGGCGCAGCAGCGAGTGCACCAAGCCCTCGTCCTCATCACTCTCGGCGGCAACGATTGGGTCAATAACTACTTCTTGACGCCCGGATCCGTAAGGTCGCGCCAGTTCACCATCCCGCAGTACTCCCGATATCTCATTTCCGAGTACAAGAAAGTTCTCAGGGTAATAATTTTCGCACATATGAGATTTTCTTGCTTGCTTTCTTTCTCGAGTTTATCGATACCGAAACACCTTTTGGGAATGCCGTAAATTCGATTGAGGAGTCTAATCCGAACGCTAATCATGTACACCGAGTCATCACGAGCACGAAGAGGGGGGATAGATGTGTACCTGTAGTTCCCCTGCTGCAGCATTGAACTGAGCTATACTGCTGTATATATCATCTGTTTTGAGCCGTGATGCGAAATCGGGGTCGTTGAATATTGCAGAGGCTTTACGAGTTGGGGGCTCGGAGGGTTTTGGTCACCGGCACGGGACCGTTGGGCTGCGTCCCGGCCGAATTAGCCATGACGGGGAGCAGGAACGGGGAATGCGCGCCCAGGCTGCAGCAGGCGGCTGCGATATTCAACCCGGAGCTCGTCCAAATGCTTAGGGAGCTCAACGGCGAGATAGGCTCCGACGTGTTCGTCTCCGCTAATGCCTTCAAAATGAACATGGACTTCATCGACAACCCCACCAAATTCGGTCCGACCTCCATATGATGTTACTGCGCTAATTAATGTTCGTTAGAAATAATCAATTTGCTAATCACTTGGATTCTTGTCACATCCGTTCTTGAATATTGAACTAGGACATTCGTCTTGGGCTTGGGCTAGCCCAACCAGAGAATTTTGGTTTTCACCAGCGCCACATTACTCTCAACATCATGAACAAATTTAGCTTGGATATCATTTTCGCTAGGCCAATCTTACATGATTTTTTCTCGTGATTCCTCGCAATTATCAGAAATCCTTGTTCCTAATACGCTCGTGTTCCCTTCTAATGAGATTTTGGAACTCATGGCTTAATTTTTTGGCGACTAGGTTTCGTGACCTCGAAGGTAGCGTGCTGCGGACAAGGCCCCTACAACGGGCTGGGGATATGCAATGCGGCATCGAACTTGTGCGCGGACCGGAAGGTATACGCGTTCTGGGACGGGTTCCACCCGTCCGAGCGCGCGAACCGGCTCATAGTGCAGCAGCTCCTGAGCGGGACCACCGATTACATGAGCCCCATGAATCTCAGCACCGTCATGGCCCTAGACTCTCGCACTTGATGAGGACGGCTCTCCGACCGTAGATCTTTCTCCGGCCCAATTATCTTACTTTCCTGGTGTTTATGGTAGTCAAATATGCAAGAAGGTGTACTTTACAGTGTGCGTTTTCCTTTTGATTTTTTGGGCTTGGGATGAATTGAAGTGTACTTTGTGGCTGAGCTTTAGGTTACTCGAATAATGCTTCATCATCCATTATGTTCCCCTGGCTTATATATATATGTCAGATTGCTTAAATGGAATCTCGAGAAAAATAACGAGCGGTCGAGGCGTACTATCATCGTATTTCTTGGGTTTAATCTCGTAACAACCGTTTTAATTTTGTTGAAACGATTTGGTATATCTTAGATATCAAATTCGAGAAAGAACATGCGCACTTGCATATCCGGATACAATCCTCTTTGGCTGCGTTTGGTCGTCGAGATTTCTGGTCATGATAGGATTGGATAGGCTAGGATAAAGAAATCCGGCTACGTTTGGTCGGCCGGATAAAAGCAAGATAGGATATATTTTATCCTATCCCGTGTTTGGTGGTGGTCAGGATAGGATAAGGTCGGATATAAACCGGATATAGCCGGATAAAAAATGCGGGGGTGGGATAGACCGGATAAGATTTCTAATGTCTATTTTTCCAAAACCCTACGCTCTCACTCGCGTCATCTTCATCCCCACACCTTGTGCGCTTTCACCAAAAAAATTTCTCGGCTTTTTTTCCTTCACCGACTCCTCCGGACAGTGAATAGCAAAAAAAAAAAAAATTTTATCCTATCCTACTTTAAATCAGAGTCCACAAAAAATGGATATGATATGAAGAAATCTCAGGATTTCTTATCCTATCCTATCCAGTCTATTCCGTTTAAAAATCCGGACGACCAAACGCAGCCCCAGGGATTTGGCCATATCCTATCCATTGTTTGGTGAACTGCGAATTTAAAGTTGGATATTCTCATATCCTATTTTATCATGCGTTTGGTAGAAACTGTATATCAATATAAAGAACATATATGCCCCTATGTGATGCTCATGAAAATTGTCATCATCGTCTTTATGTTTGCCCCATGAACTTGAAGCCCTTCCATACACAATCATAGAAATGGAGCGAGTTTTTACACATAAGAGAACCAGAATAGCTACAATACTACTCCCCATAAATCAAAACAGTGACTGCTTCTACTTTGCTTTTCTTTACGGTCCTATCAATCATGTTATATTCTGAAAACCCACACATCAAACTCTATTTAAAATATAGCCTTCTTATCTCGATGAAACAGTATCCCAACTAGCTGCAAAATAACTCTTTCCTTGAATTCTCACATAATTTGGTTGTCAAACAGCGATGTTTTCTTTGGCAACTAAAAATTTTACTCTAACAAGATCAAACATTGCTGCCTCGTGAAAAGAGAACTCAATGGATTAGTTCTCACAAGTTCTCTTGTAGGGGAACAAACGCGAAACTCAAAGCCGACCACCACCCGTGAGAGAAAAAAGAAAGAGGAACATGATAAAGAACTCTCATCATCTAAAAGCACTCAAAACTCACACAGCACACAGACACGACATCCACGACATGGAGCCCAGCGAAGAACTCGTTTATGACAACTTCGTCGTTCGATTACCGGTTAACAAAGAATGAAAATTATAAATCCAAACTACTGAAAAAAAATTGCAAAAGCAAGCTGTAGACGATCATGGATGAATACATATCTTCGCAAATTGCAGAAGCAAGCTGTAGCGTGGGTGAAGGAGTGCGTGAATGAAGAGGTAGGGTTTCTAAAAATTAGCTTTTATATGACGGATAGGAGAAATCTTATCCGACTTTATCCTACCTCCCTCGGATTTTTTAATCCGGGTTACATCCCTTCTATATTCGACATTATACTATTCGGGACACCTACCAAATATGGGATAGGATAAAACATATCCTATCCCGAGTTTTATACGGATAACCAAACGCAGCCGAAGAAATACATTTCGACCTTTCTTAGGAGCTCATCAGTAATCTTCCGCTGTCGCAACCCTCCACGGAATACGTACGCGCGTGATCGAGTCGTACTCGAGCGGAGTGGCACAAGTCGTAAATTCGATGGATCACGAGTGGCAATTATCTCAACCACTCCTCCAACCAACGACACTGACCTTCATCTCTCCCGTCGCTCCAGCTTCCGTTCGCTCGCTCGCACGCACTGAGTTTTGCGGCACTGTACCACTAAATCCCCTCTCTCTCTCTCTCTCTCTCTATCTTTCTCTCTCTAACTTCGCCATCGCCGTTTCTTTGAAAACTCGACGCTCGATTGCTTCGTCCTCCTCCTCCTCGCTCGAATCACATTGCCGGCTCGTGCCGCTTCGATCTCCGACCGGCCGCAGATCCAGCCGCCGGCGCGCCAGATCCGAGCGACGCCGATCGCCGTCGTTTCCTGATGGAGGAGGCCCTGGAGCTCGCCCGCGCCAAGGACACGAAGGAGCGGATGGCCGGGGTGGAGCGGCTCCACCAGCTGCTGGAGGCTTCCCGGAAGGGCCTCTCCGCCGCGGAGGCGACGTCGCTGGTGGACTGCTGCCTGGATCTCCTCAGGGACAACAACTTCAGGGTCTCCCAGGGCGCGCTCCAGGCCCTGGCGTCCGCCGCGGTGCTCTCCGGCGAGCACCTCAAGCTGCATTTCAACGCGCTAGTCCCCGCGGCGGTGGAGCGGCTCGGCGACGGGAAGCAGCCCGTTCGGGATGCTGCTAGGCGGCTCTTGCTCACTCTGATGGAGGTAATTAGAGTGGATGCACAGTCGCATGTGCTTGTTTGTGGTCTGTTGCATTGAATTCTGCGTCGCTTCATGGCGCTTTAGTTTCAAATGAACGAGCGTTTGGCGTTGGTTGGACAGATACTCTCCTCTACCTTTAATTGCTTGGTTGATGTTTTGGGTTTGTTCCAATTCTGTTGTTGGCTCTCCTAGACTGAGTGAACGGAAAGACGAGTGGTATAGAGGCACTAGTGTTGAGGGGTTATTCAACGTATGCGACCTTGCTTTGGTTAATATAGTTGTTTATGGCTGTTCTAGTGCAAGGAACCCATGTCGTGAACTAAGGATGAACAAACAGAAAGGAAAAGAAAAGAAAATAAAAATCAGCTTTGCAGCTCTTATCACGGAATTGGTCCTTTGTTACCTTTATCTGAGGTGAAAAGTTTCTCCTTCAGTAACTTGCAGACTAGCTGTCCAAAATTGATACAGGCAACTACAATACTTAAGAAACACCAGTGCCATGACATTCGTATCTTTGGTACTCATTGGGTACATGTGGATATCTCCAGGAATGGATTCATAATTATTGAGGTTCTTTTTTTTCGCATGCACAAACTGAACAAGAAAAGGAGCTTTGAATTGACATGTTGAATGGTCCAGGTCTCTTCTCCGACGATTATTGTGGAAAGAGCAGGTTCTTTTGCCTGGACGCACAAAAGTTGGAGGGTTAGAGAAGAATTTGCCCGAACTGTAACTTCTGCTATCAGCCTTTTTTCATCTACCGAGCTTCCCCTTCAGCGAGCAATTCTTCCTCCTGTATGATCATTGCCTTATCTGGATGGCAACACTGCTCTTCAGCTTTTCCGTTTTCTCTTTGCTAAAGTGGGATTTACTTGATTCTTTTCAATCACCAGATATTACAAATGTTGAATGACCCGAATCATGGTGTTAGGGAAGCAGCTATTTCATGCATTGAGGTCAGTGAAGTTCTTGAAACTACTTCTCAGAACTATTTATTGTTAGTGTGAATCTGTCAACGTGATTATGATGTTATACTATATACTTGTGGCAACCTTTCTTTCAAACGTTTGTCCGGTTGTGCCCCTTGGACTAAGTCAGTTGGGAGTTGAACCTTGTCTCCCTTTATTTACTTAAAAAGCTGTTTATAGTCATATCTGGTTCAAGAACAGCTTAAGCTTGAACTGTTAGTTAGATTAATAGTTTCATTAATATTAGAAAACGACTGCTGTAGGATGCAAGTGAAGAAACTTATTGTGAAGTAAAGCCACAATTCCAATTGCAATGGCTTATGATCGATGGATTTTACATGTTACATTACATGCTAACTCTTTTCTTTTCCGCAATTTCTTCTTAACCTTGACCATCTTGCTACTTTGGTCATTGTAAGACTGTTGTTGTATTAGATATTCAATATGCTATTGACTCAGGTCACTTGTGTGGCGTTGCCATTCACGTACTCCTTCCAATTTATCCATGTGAGCTTTTGGGGTTTTGTAATGGGGTAATCTTAGAAAGATGATAACAGGTAGGCTAGTGGAGCACTTTAAGCCTTTCAAAGAGAAGATTCTTGAAAGATGGTAAAAGTTGGTGGGAAGGATTGTCTGACAAAAGAGAGAGTTCAATCGTTAACTTGGCTTTTGCATCTTTAGGTATTTTAGTCGCTATAAGTTTTAGATTAGCCTGTGAGCTTGAGCTAGTTTTTGTGCAATGAAAGAATTAATGGTGATTATAAGCGAAGGCCCCCTCCCTCTCTCTCTCTCGATGCTTTATGGTCTCAGTCAGGTGCTATGATGATGGTCTTGTTATAATGTTCATGGATTGATTTACCTATTATATAGTTCCCTTGTTTCTTCTCTCTCTCTCTCTCTCTCAATTACTAATAAATCTGTGTCCATGTAATATCCCACTAATCTCACGACCCTCTCATTTCTTGTCAAACGTGTGCATAATTTATGATTTCATAGAAATTATTTTTTTGCCCTGTGAAATTCTAATGTTCTTCTTCGCAATGTCGTAGCCAGTACACTGATCAGCAGTAATGGCTCACTTAGATGATTTAGTGTCTTCTCTTCTCAACTTTTCTTTGAAAGAATAACTCAAAACAATTGCGAGCTGTTCATGTCCATGTGGTCTTAGTGTCCCAATGATCGATCTAATTGATCCAATTAATGGAAAGTGATTATTCTTTGCTTAGGTTTGGTTATTGTAGCAGCTTTGATTGATCAAATTTAAATAACTGGGAATAGCAGATAATATTCTTAAGATACTTGTATTGAACTTTTCAATTCCCAGTGTGCTTAACTCCCTGGTTCATCTAATTGTGGCATAACATCTTCATTAGATTAATTTGGGAGTTTATTGGCAGGAGATGTATGCTCAAGCAGGTGATCAATTTCGTGATGAACTTCAGCGACATTCTCTTCCT